CTTAACTACAGAGTATTTGACAGCACTCGGTTATAGGAATATTTTTCTACAAAGTTAAACTGAGAAGAATCTATATCCAGCTCAAGTAGTTATGTAATAAGAACACTAAAACTGGCCAGTTTGCCTATCATATTAACTGTGTTGTCTAAAATATTAATAACAATTCATTGAAACATATAATGCACGTAATAGATTGATAACAACACCATTACCCTACTGAATATAAAATAAATGTTATAGGACTGATTCAATATTTTGGCATCCATAAAAAAAGTACAGACCATGGCCATACCATTAAAGTAGAAAGCAAATATAGAATGCAACAGACATTCAACTGGTTAACATTAGGTTGTTTGATCTATAGAGCAGGCAAACATCAGAAATAAAGAACATGCTTGTTCTTTTTTCTATAAATAATAATAATCTGTCAAATAAAAATAATGGAAAATGGAAAACCTGCGTATTTATTCCACTGGAGTCACAATAGCACAAACCATTATCTATAACTTCTCGCACAACCTCTGAAACAGCATCATCATTGGCAGCAGTATTTGGTTTACATTTATTCAAGACAGCCCTTAAAAGAGTAGTTTTACCAGCTCCCTGCACGTAGCAAACTCACGCAGGTCATTTGACAAATAATAAATGGAGTTAAATATGCTGCCCCCAAGAAAAATTGCCTTTACCTCTAACCCAATTAATCGTACTCGGCGGGTCCTTACATGAACTTCTTTGGAAACAGTTGTAAAATCACTGGTGCAAAATATTACAAAGTTATTTAAACTTTCTGGACGGATGAATTTATCCTTGTCAACAGGTGCTGAACTACTTGCAGTCTCAGAGTCAACAGAAGAAAAAGCAGGCATCAATGAGTCTAACACAGTTTGATGTTTTGGTGGACTTCTTAGTGGAGGACCAACTAATATTCTCAACCTCTGTATCTCAGGCTGCATTCCTTGATCAGAAGAATAGTTTGGTGGAGAAGGAAATGATTCAACCATAGTTGAACACCTAATGAACATTAAACAAATGTCANATAAAGTTTGCTCTGATGCCAAACATGCGTCAATGGCTTGAGCCAACACGAAAGTTCTTTTAGGGAGGGGCACTCATAAGACAGGTAATTTATCTACTATGATAAAGTGTTGTCATGACAGGTAATTTATACAGGTAACTATTGATTATATCACTCATAAGACAGGTAATTTATCTCCTATGATAAAGTGTTGTCATGACAACTTTTGTTTACAAGCTACTTTTCCTGATTTCAGAGAAAAGAAAAACTATAAAATTCTTGTTAGGGGCTTTTGCTCCCTAACAATTTCTGGAAAACCTGTCTAATTATCATAATTGTTTTTTATATTTAATTATAAATCATTTTCTTAAAAATACCAGAAAAAAAACGGCTAACTCTACATGAATATTTTAATTGCCAATATATTTTAGTGTAGCTGATGGAATCAAAACACAAGGGAGTAGATGGTATTAAAAAGCACTGGAAATCTCAAGTAAATTACATGATCACGTACTTCCAGAAAAAGGATGACCTTTAAAGGTCCCAATCTATTACAGCCGAAACTTTAACATTACATAACGCCACCAAGGACGGAACCAAAAACATGAAAGGTGGCCAAAAATTTGACACATGGTAAAAGCAGTGTGAAGATGGAAGTTGGAGCATTAAACTTAAAACACTAAGTTAAAACATAATACTTTCTATAAAATTACAGATAGCAAAATTAAAAGTGGGTGTTAAAAAGAAGAAAAAACAAAGGTATATGTAAATTTATATTCTAGAGGATATGCATTCCTTTGAATGAAAATATGCACCTTCCCATTTAAGTCAACCCAGTCAATTTCTTTTCCAGTATTAATTTGACAAGTGATATCACCATTATTTGACACCTCTTACACCTAAATTGGTACCAATGTAATGTTATTCTATGTCTACGACACTGCATGCATGCCTTTCAAAATCAAACAACAAAAGTTGGTAAGTGAATAAGTAATATATCATCACAACTCACATCAAGGTTTACATGGGTTGACTTTTCCTCTTATAGTATTCTTAGTCAATGTTAGACAACTGGAATATTTGAGCATCTCTTATCAAAATAGTGTAATATGCTGGATACTGTTTAGCTTTTTTTTGTTTTAAATATATTTTGAAAGAACAAGAGATGTATTATGTGAAGTGAAGGAGCTTCAACAACATGTTGATCATTAACTCTATAGAGAGAAAAAATATAACAAAAGTTCAAATATTAGCATTATATTAATCTTAGAAACAAAATAAAAGCTTCCTAAATTTTGATTATAAAACCATATATTTCTCTTTCTCTGAACAATATTTTAAAATTTGAAACACAACAAAAACTCCTAAAAGCTATGTTAATCAAATTCAAAATTAAAAATATTTAGGCATATATTTTCAACATGCACTAAATGAATTCAATGTTTTAGTTAGTAAACACTTCTACAACTTACTAACACGAGGAGGATCAAAAGTTATGTCACGTGGAACCTATAAAAAGGAATTCAATATAAATGCCCTAAATAATTGAGATACTTACCCAATAACAAACCTTTACTCTATACAAATACTACAACTACATCAAGACCCAAATACCCTTTACCTTGGGTGCACCCTACCTGAACAATTATTACCTAGTCTACTATAGAGCTTTCCTAATCGTGCCTTATTCGCAAGGGTTAACAATTGATTCTCCTATCTTTGAAGCTTTTAGCTGAAGGGTCACAAGTAAAGGTTATTTTTTATAATCTATCTATTGAACTTAATTTTGAACAGTGGGGACAATATCAAAATGTTATTGCTTGGTCATCAAAGCTATTCAAATATGTCAATAACCAACTATGCTAAAAAAATTTAAGCATGTAGTGAAAGCTCAAGAATGAATATATAAGAGCAATGTACCATACCATTTATGATGATAATATTTAGATAAAAAAGCCACAATATATGCGCTAGAAACACATCCTCTAATATCTTTTATTATTGATTGAAATTCATATGAGAATTACATTAATGCAGTGTTTATTTCCAGGCACGGATTTGCAAAGACAAATGCAAGCAATGAATGGAAGAGAATGCACGAAAAACAACAAATAAAAAAGTATTTAAAAACAGAAAACGAAGCAAGTATTTGAAGGTTAACTTTCTTTGCAAAATTGAAAAGATTTGCGAGGAAATACGTTCCAATGACCACTTTCTCCTTTCATAATTGTTTATAGTTGAATAAGTTTAATTTTCATGATAACAGTGAATATAAAATTAATAAATAGTATAATATAATAAAATACTCACTACTATAATTATTAATAGTAATAATAGAACTTTAAAATAGTAAAAATAATATAAATAATAATAGTATAAAATTAACAAAATAGTAATAATCAAGGGCAAAATAGTAATCTTCTGTTTTTATCGATTAAACTATTTTTTTAATTTATCAAACACATCACATTACTCACTAACTCCTATAAAATTTCATCTCAAATACCTTCATTTCTCACCATCTTTCTCATAATCCAAACAACTCAACTTTCTTGTTAGATTTATTGTGTTTTATGTTAATTAGGAAACATAGACTTTTGATATTGTTTGATACTGGTAAATATTGTTGATATTGTTTTCTAACAATATCTTCTGTTACCATAGTCATGTTTGGTTGTCATATATAACTTGTATCATTCTTCATTATAAATATATTACCCTATGTGTATTTTAGAGACAAGAGAGATTAATCCTATACCTAGTTTTACTATATTCAATACCTCTCAAATCCACTCTCACAAATTCATCCCCCAATTCAGACATAGCATAAGAGTCTTGTCAAATAGCAAAGAGGAATCTCAATAAATTTTAATTAATAATAAAGTGTGTTATTCTAATGGCCATAATCACAGTTTAGAAGTAAAATATATGCAAAACAAAAATAATGTACTAGTAAAATTATTCAAACAAGTACGAGATTTGACATAATACAGATTTTCCCACCTGAAAGGAAGACTCCTCACCACTTCGGAGTATTTGGTGAATTTGCTGACAGAGAGAATTTACTCCTTCTACTGGAAAAACAATCTCCCTTTTAAGGAAAGGCTTCCTAATGAAGTTAATAGGAGCAAATATAAACTTTTCAGCACCCACCCTTTTAGTAGAATTTGTATTGATTGCATCCAAAGAAATAGAAGCCCCAACAAATCCGGGCATAACATACGGACAAGAATTTATAACTTCAGCCGAGCCAGGTGATGCTTGGTATGCTGTCAAAGCAGCCTCAATTGCTGCCTTTTGATGGTGTGCACTAACTGCAAATTTGTTTGTGATTGCAAGAACCCAAGGAATTCCAAGAGTTTTAGCCTCATCTAAGAAAAGAGACAGGACTGGCCTTTGTTGATTATCATTTGAATTACTACAACGGGGTATGCTATGGGATAAGTTATGAACAAAAACAATCAAATCTGTCTTCTGACTTAGATCACGTATTCCAAGCCACAGTTTATCCCTGAAGCGAGAGGTTTCCACATTTAGTTCCTGTAAAACAACATTAATGTTTATTTAACACGTGAACAAAACATACTAGTGCTCATGGCCAAGCTCTTACAAGCAATCATAACTATGTGTCTCAAATGTTTGCTTAACTACAGAGTATTTGACAGCACTCGGTTATAGGAATATTTTTCTACAAAGTTAAACTGAGAAGAATCTATATCCAGCTCAAGTAGTTATGTAATAAGAACACTAAAACTGGCCAGTTTGCCTATCATATTAACTGTGTTGTCTAAAATATTAATAACAATTCATTGAAACATATAATGCACGTAATAGATTGATAACAACACCATTACCCTACTGAATATAAAATAAATGTTATAGGACTGATTCAATATTTTGGCATCCATAAAAAAAGTACAGACCATGGCCATACCATTAAAGTAGAAAGCAAATATAGAATGCAACAGACATTCAACTGGTTAACATTAGGTTGTTTGATCTATAGAGCAGGCAAACATCAGAAATAAAGAACATGCTTGTTCTTTTTTCTATAAATAATAATAATCTGACAAATAAAAATAATGGAAAATGGAAAACCTGCGTATTTATTCCACTGGAGTCACAATAGCACAAACCATCAACAATAACTTCTCGCACAACCTCTGAAACAGCATCATCATTGGCAGCAGTATTTGGTTTACATTTATTCAAGACAGCCCTTAAAAGAGTAGTTTTACCAGCTCCCTGCACGTAGCAAACTCACGCAGGTCATTGGACAAATAATAAATGGAGTTAAATATGCTGCCCCCAAGAAAAATTGCCTTTACCTCTAACCCAATTAATCGTACTCGGCGGGTCCTTACATGAACTTCTTTGGAAACAGTTGTAAAATCACTGGTGCAAAATATTACAAAGTTATTTAAACTTTCTGGACGGATGAATTTATCCTTGTCAACAGGTGCTGAACTACTTGCAGTCTCAGAGTCAACAGAAGAAAAAGCAGGCATCAATGAGTCTAACACAGTTTGATGTTTTGGTGGACTTCTTAGTGGAGGACCAACTAATATTCTCAACCTCTGTATCTCAGGCTGCATTCCTTGATCAGAAGAATAGTTTGGTGGAGAAGGAAATGATTCAACCATAGTTGAACACCTAATGAACATTAAACAAATGTCACACACCTCACGTATTTAAGTTACTTTGCAGAAATAATATGCAATGAGAAACAACAGGAAAGGGGTGACGTTTAACATATTTTAAGTACCATTTTGCATTACATTGCAAATATATTAGTTTTGTTCCATCCTCCTAGGTCACTAATAAAGGAATCTAGATTATAAACATTGTGTTTGGTAGAGAGGAGAGAAATAAGTAAGATGGAAACAAGTAGGTAGAAAGGAAATAGATGAGAAATAAAGTGAGAAGCAAAAGTGTTTGGTTCAAGAGAAATAGAGAAGAGATACAGAGACAAGAAATAGGTGACAAATATTAAAATGGGTCTCACCATTTTTTAAAATTGTTTCTTTCCTCTTTCATTCCTACTAAACATTCTATTTTATTTTCATCTTCACCCATCTACACAACCAACAAAGACTTTCAGATCAATAGGAAAAGCAAAAACCATACACATGTTCATTCAGGAACATCATCGTTTTAACAGAAGACAGAAGTCAGCAAAAGTTTGCTCATATAATAAAACAAGGTCATTGACATCTCCAGAAACCACCTATAATCAAGCATCCATAATCTATATAGTATATGTAACCAAAGCTTTAGATGAACCGATGGATTGGAGAGATGATATTGGAAAAGCTTTTTATAATTTGTTCATGCACAGGAACAGGAAGAAAGGGAATGGAATGTAATCCCACCCATTGAAATCCAATCCCCAGGGTTTGCAATGATAATGAGTATCCTGAAATTTCAGGAATCCACTTCCCATCCCACTTACTATGAATCACTTAATCATATTGCCTTAGAAATTTTACTTAGCATGTAAAATATATGTTTAACTGTTTCTCCATAATATTATCAAACCAGGTAATTAACAGCTGCACTTGGCCTTGAAAAAACTGCTTCTCCGAACACAAATTAATCATCTCCAAAAAAAAGATTAAACTCATTCAGATAAGATACGTAAATTTTCAAGTCAAACTAAGACATGGAGAGTTCCGAAGAGTGCTCATAAAATCATAACTTTAACAAACCAATATAAAAATGAAAAGCATTGACTCAACAGCATTCAACTAATTCAGCTTAAAAACAAATTGTAAGTTTGTAACACAGACATTATGCACTTTAATAAAGAAAATAAGATGCTTTCATGGACTAAACCATATACATTAGCAATCACAATAACCAATGGAGATGGAGTAACAAGACAGATGCTACTGATAACCAAAATGTCAAAGAAATATTACATATTGTTAGGAGGATTTAAGGGTTATTAGCATTAGGTTATTGAACTTTAAGAGTGCACGGGATTTGTTAGGGGAACCTTAAGAAAGATAGTTAAAACCAAAGAAAGTCCACAAAAGAGAGATAATAATGGAAAAAATTGGACTATGCCCTTTACAGTGAAAGAAAACATACGAACCATACAAAAGAGCAATCTCCTTTCACATTGGGAGAAAGCCCAGTGCAAACAGTCTAATTACACAAGATTCCCCTATTTCACTTTAGAGAGTTCACCCATAAATTATGTTAGGTTCCTAAATTGGGAACCTACGTTCAGGACTCAATTCCTCCCCAAGAAACACAGAAAGAAAGGGAAGTCTGAATGTTATTCACCAGTATAGTATCTGTACAATCCAATGCAGAGGCATAACCCTCTTCCACAGGTATAAACCCGTAAGCACTAAGTAATCAATCAATCCCCCAATCCCTTCTACTCAGCCGCTATTTATACAATCTTACAATCTCACCACAACTGTCCTAACTGTTAGTTTGTTATATTCATTGTTTGTTATATTCATTTCTTCCTATTCCTCCTCTCATAAACTACCCATCCTTTCTTATTCTTATCCCTATCAAATTAGCTCTAACTATCTACTAGATACCCCCAGACAGAAAGCTAACAAACAGTCTAGAGACAATCATTGGCCATTTTCTTCCTATTGTAAGCTCGTGAGACCTTTGCCTCTGGTTGTGATTTATTTGCTTGGCAAACATGATTGGGTCAAGCCTGGGATATTGTACTATATATAGTGAATCCGTTATATATGACTCTCATACTCGTTTTACATGGTATAACAAACTTACTGTGCCAGCAAGAGACTGCCAGATGGGGTTGTTCTTATGGACAAAACCATGTAAAACTCCACTGAGCCAGGCACGGAACTTATAACAGATCTCCTTGTGCAAATAGGATTGAGTGGTTTTCTCTCTTTCAACCAAAATTATTGAGCTTATTTTAAGCAGAAAAACTTAAATAAGAAATAGGAGAAAATCTTTGTAGATGCAGTACACAATGATAGGCTTCCCTATTTATTATGTTTAGAAAGCGCGAATGTATGCTAGTTAATGTATTCCTATGTTTCGTTCATCGATCACCTAGTGCAATCCTGAAAACCTTGATATTTTCTAGTACTTTAACGGTTTCTATTTCTGATCATTATAACCATGGTTATCAAACTCGTGAGTTAACTCGTTAACTCGAACAAGTTTACATGTTCACTAAATGCTTCCAAACTCAGTTTCAGAGTAGAATCACGGAGGTGGAATCGATCGAACTCGCAAGTTTGGTTCCGATTTGGCAAGTTCAATAAAAAATATTTAAGTGTATAACGACTTCGTATGGAGGATGTCTTTTGAAGAAAACTAACCAGATTAGGTTGTGATTAAGTCCCTTCTTCGTTCTTTTGAACTCCTCTGTCATGCAGCCCCTGTCTCACAATCGCACCCCTCTCTCGGAATCGCTTTGCGTCGCTTCATCGTGTATTGCCATCGCGTTCACTGTTGACGTCGTCGCCACCTAACTCACTATTGTCGTCACTTGCCATCGCCGGTTGCTTTCCGTCACGAGCTCTATTTTCGTCGCACACAATGCACACTTTCTATGCAGAGCCTGTACTGTTTGTTTGTGTAAGTGGCATTATTCTTGAGTTATGTTTCAGCCTATTATATTCAGCCCCTCTCTGCACTGTTCTGTGCAATTCTTTTACTAGAAAATTCTTCTCTAGTCTACCAAAAACCGTGGATATTTTATTTATAATATATTTTTTAATTTTGTAGTAAAAAATTTAAATTTGATCGGAATGTTCGGGAATAGATCAAATTCAATTGAGAGGAATCCAACTGCTTCCTCCTCTATTAACGGTAGAAGTAGAAGTAAAAATGCTCCAGGAAAGAGACCTGATATTGGATGGAAACATGGGAGAGATCTGATATTGGATGGAAACATAGGATAGATATTAATGGTAATGATAGAATCCTGTGGAATGGAGAAAATGTTTAGGGATGGAACTCCGGAGTTGAAGAGATTTTCCATTCAAAATTCTAAGCTTGACTTGTAGTTCTTCAGAATATGAGCATAATTGGAGCTCATTTGAAATGATGGTAAAATGTTCACTTAGATGAAGCAACAACCGATCCAGCTCTAGATGTTGTTGATCTTGATAAAATAACTTTCAATGCCAATGAGGATGCACAACTTTTATCATGGGAAGAGTTGGATGAAAATGATGATGAAGATGATAATGTCAGTAGAGGATTAGAGGATTAGAGGATTAGAGGATTAGACATAGACACTTGATATTTAGATTTACGTTTTATAATATTTGAGTGAACTTATTTATTTATAGTACTTTTAAGTTCTATAATTTTGTGGACTCATTTGAATTAGGATGTTATTTATATAAAAAAAATTCATGTCAAAGTAAACTCTTATGAGTTTACCGGACTCTCACGAGTATACGTAAACTCTGAGTTTGACAACCTTGATTATAACTACTAATTCTTTCTCTGCCCTGGGACTGCCCCCATTTCCACCCATCACAAATCTAAACAGATCCATTTAGTATTTA